GTCCCCCCCGCCAGGAAACACGACCATGTTTCAAGCCGGCTCCTCTTAACCAACAGGAAGCGTTAAAGATAGAACAGCCGGGGCTGGGCGGGGGAGATTAGGAAGCCGAGCATCTTCTGAGCACCGAGAAGCTTTGCGGGGCCGTTCCCGCACCGGCCGCCGGTGGGGTGGGAGTTGTGGTCAACCCAGCCCCGCCGGCACCGCCGCCCCTCGCCCGGCAACCCCACCCCGAGCTTAAGGGGGACCGGGGGTGGCAGGCAGCGGGGTCCTTCCCTGCCACTGCCCGGTGACACCGAGCGACCCAGGGGTCGGGCCCCTCTTGGCACCTCCACAAGGAGAAGCACCAAATTTATACAGAATAGGGAGCACGAAAAAAAATAAATAAAATAGGGAGCAGTTTCATACAGAATAGAGGCCAGCGATGCTTGGAGTGGGCCCGAGATCTTTTGGACAAGCACTATAAATATCTTCCTTTAATTATGACAAAATATAGCTAGAAATAACAGAAAGGCAAACCAACAAACAAGAAAAAAAAGCCAACAAAGCCTTAAATCGTGTTGCCTCTCCACACATCACTGCCTGCACAGGGTCCTCACAGCTCAGAGTTAACAAAGCCAGACCTGGCTTTCCATGCATTTTTAACTCCAAGCTGCAATAGATGCTTCAGGGAAAAAGAAAACTAATAATAATCCAGGCATCTTGAAATTACTCAGCACTACATTGTGAAAGGAAAAGCTGCTTTAGGGAAGGGTGGGTTTTTTTTGTTGCTTTGGTCAAATAAAGTAATATTTCACTCGCTCAGAGGTTGCTGTCCAAGAGTGTATGATTTGTGTAACTTAATGTAACACCACACCCTTGTCCTGGGCTGTGCACAAGTAGTTTGGCTTTTGTTTTTGAATTGTTTCTAGCCCTCCAGCATTTGAAGAAAGTCTTTAAAATATTAACCAATACAACTGTCATCTTCCTGTGTTTCCAGACATTTTACAATAGGAAACAAAGAACAAACCCCTACAACAATAGCTCAGAGGTATGAATTGCCTCATTCATCTCACTGGAATGTTCAAAAACATTAACTGTTTTTTGACTGATTCAGCAGAAAACGTGCTGCCAGATAATAAGCTTGTGCCTGATCCAGGGGAGATTCAGGGACTGAGAAAGGTTTTATTTTTCAGCACTGTAATGTAGCACCTTTCCTAAAAGGAAGCAAATATTCTTGTCGATGGAAGAGGCTGCGTGAGAAGAAATTCTGACACAGCTTGAAGGGAGCTGCTGCCTTCCTCTGTCTGTGCTGGCTCTGAAACAGCAAATGGCTTCTTTCACCCCCAATTCTTAATCCACAAAGGCCCACGAGGGTGGTAGATGATGGAAAACACTCTCTTGTCATTGTAATATATTAATTAGCAATTAGTGCCCACTCAAACTTACCATGAACTAACAGTGCAGTCCTTTGGATTTGAACTGGAAAGACCGGGGACTTGGCAGGGGATGTTTCATTTCTAGTGTAACACGCTTGGAGCAGGAAAGACAAGGTCAGCACCATAGGCTGAACTTCAGCTGAGACAATGCTATCATGGAAACAGTTTGTTCAAACTCCTATTAAAACATGTTGATGTGCTAAGGCCAGTGAGAAAACAGATGGTTCAACAGTCATTCCGCACTGTCATCCCGTCAGGAACGGTGGGAATGGGAATGAACTGCCACTTCCAGAGCAGCTGTCTCATTTCCAAGACCAAGAGGTCAGGACAGAGATGTGTTCCAGCACAGCTGTGCTCCCTGAGCCCTGCCCTCAGGTGTACTTGCCCCTGTCACTAGCCCCCTGGGCACCTGGGCCTTCCAGCACCATTGGGTGACTGTGCAACACAAGGCCTTGGTAACCACAGAAACACCAATTGCACCTCCAGATGGAACTAAAGACACAGCCTGAACAGAGATAGAATGGTTAAACAAGGAATAACGGAATCCTTCAACTTGTGGAATATTATTGCAGAGTGAAGGAAAAGGGCTGTTTCATCAAGAGACTATCACACCTGATGACAATATTTGGATGTTAATACAGAAAGCAAAGTCAATTGTTTCTACTTATTGGGATTCTTGAAGAGTTCACTAGCAAACCTTTCTATTGGCCCTCTAATGGATGAGGTGGGAGCCCTGGTGACAGAGGATATAAAGAAGGCAGAGGTGCTGAATGCCTTCTTTGCCTCTGTCTTTACTCCTGCAGGATTTCCCCACAAGCCCCAGATTCATATAGCCCCAGAAGAAGTCAAGATAGAGGAGGAGTCTGACATGGTAGATGAGGATTGGGTTAGGGATCAGTTGAGTAATCTGGACATCCATAAATCGATGGGTCCGGATGGAATGCACCCAAGGGTGCTGAGGGAGCTGGCGGAGGTCATTGCTAGGCCACTCTCCATCATCTTCGGTAAGTCATGGGTAACAGGAGAGGTGCCTGAGGACTGGAGGACAGCAAATATCACACCAGTCTACAAGAAGGGCAAGAAGGAGGACCCGGGCAACTATAGACTGGTCAGCCTCACCTTCAACCCTGGAAGGTGATGGAAAAACTTGTTCTTGTCACTATCTCTAGGCATATCAAGGACATTGGGGTCATCAGGAGCAGTCAGCATGGTTTTATCAAGGGTAAATCATGTTTGACTAACCTCATAGCCTTCTATGAGGAAATTACTAGGTGGATAGATGATGGTAGAGCGGTAGATGTGGTTTATCTTGATTTCAGTAAAGCATTTGACACCGTCTCCCACAGCATCCTTGTAGATAAGCTGATCAGGTATGGATTTGGTGATCAGGAAGTGAGGTGGATTAGGAACTGGTTGAAAGGAAGGAGTCAGAGAGTTGTAGTCAATGGGGCAGAATCTGGTTGGAGGTGTGTGACTAGTGGAGTCCCACAGGGGTCGGTACTGGGACCGGTGTTGTTCAACATCTTCATCAACGACCTGGATGAGGGTATAGAATGTACCCTCAGCAAGTTTGCTGATGACACTAAGCTGGGAGGAGTGGCTGACACACCAGAAGGCTGTGCTGCCATTCAGAGAGACTTAGATAGGTTGGAGAGTTGGGCGGGGAGAAACATGATGAAATTCAACAAGGGGAAGTGCAGAGTTTTACATTTGGGGAAGAACAACACCATGTCCCAGTACAGGTTGGGGGCTGAACTGCTGGAGAGTAGTGTAGGTGAAAGAGACCTGGGGGTCCTGGTAGACAGGAGGATGACCATGAGCCAGCAATGTGCCCTTGTGGCCAAGAAGGCCAATGGCATCCTGGGGTGCATTAGAAAGGGTGTGGTTAGTAGGTCAAGAGAGGTTCTCCTCCCCCTCTATTCTGCATTGGTGAGGCCACATCTGGAGTATTGTGTCCAGTTCTGGGCCCCTCAGTTCAAAAAGGACAGGGAACTGCTCGAAAGAGTCCAGCGCAGAGCTACGAAGATGATTAGGGGAGTGGAACATCTCCCTTATGAGGAAAGGCTGAGGGAGCTGGGTCTCTTTAGCTTGGAGAAAAGGAGACTGAGGGGTGACCTCATCAATGTTTACAAATATGTAAGGGGTGAGTGTCAGGGGGACGGAGTTAGGCTTTTCTCAGTGAAAAACCTACCTGGACACATTCCTGTGTGATGTGCTCTAGGTGACCCTGCTCTGGCAGGGGGGTTGGACTAGATGATCTTTTGAGGTCCCTTCCAACCCCTAAGATTCTGTGATTCTATACAATGACCAAGAAGTCACAAATATCTTAAATAAAGGCTACATCAGACAACTGAAGATTTTTTTCTTTTTAATGGAACCTTTGATCTTTATGAGCAATATATATTTCTTAAATAAATAGAAAACATTCATTCAGAAAAAAAATATAAATCACAAAAGTTTTAAAAGTGCTAGTTTTTCCAATTTCCTTCCAACCTTTCATGATACAGAGAGCAACCTGTGCCATGTTGGCTGAATTAAAAATAATCTTATGCAAAGTAAAGCCACAGTTTCCCTTCCCACGAGACACAACCTCCCACACAGTAATCCCACCATGTCAGCAAATTTCTAGAAATTAGTGCTTTAGCTCTGCGACCCCTGCTCTGCCACACACAATACCCGTGGCTCACAGTTAGCACAGACAGGAAAAATTCAGTGTATTAAAAAAAAAGTCAACAGAAGAACATGTAAATAAGAATTGTTGCTAAAAGCATAATAAGAGTCCATCTTGGGCTCAAGTTGATTCACCTTTTAGATACTTTAAAATCACACCTATGGGAAACAAAAGTGCACACAGCCTGCAGTGCTGCTCAGCACTGTCTCAACCAGGCATTTAGAGGTGGCTGTCCCTGACCTGGGCTGAAATCACAGTTCTGAAAGTTTCACGTTGCTACAAGAGAGTGAGCTCTTCAAAGACAGCTTAATCCTTGGTTTCCTGTAGTCTTGTACAGTGAGGTCCCTCTTGGATTTTAAACAGTGGTTGCCAGCCATCTTGGGGGAAGGTTCAGAACAACTTCGGCAACTGCCTGAGTTGCTTCACATCAAGAATGGTGCCAACAGAATTAATGCTGTTCGACTGGTTTAATGTTTCAAGGGCTGGAGAATGCAGCTTTCCAGGGAAGACCTGGATATCTCCATCTTTCCTGCCAGGTTGTTCTGTGAATTCAATCCTCCCAGGTAACAATTTGGGTTTTGATTTTAAATCCTTTAAAATCTGAACTGAGTTCTCATCTGCTTGATCTTCTCTGGGAGGAAAAATCTCATTTGTAATATTTCTTAACACAGGGCTGTTTAATTCTGGTGGAGAAGCATAAGCAGTCAAGTCTCTGCTGTGACTTTTTAGATGAATGGGAAGTTTTCCATCAATTCTTTTGGATAATTGAGTCCAGTGGTTGAAGCCATCCAACACAGGGGTACAGTTTTTGTCCAGTATACTTTCACTATTGCCAGTGCCAGAACTGCCATCTTGGACCTGCAGTTCCTCTTCATCTTCACTACTGTCATTGTCCTGTATCAGCCCGTATCGCTTCATGTACTTCTTGGTTGCAAAAGACATATTGTTTGGTGAAATTAAGCTAAGACCCACCATGCTCTTGTCCATATTTGTATGCAAGATGTCTTGGAAAGAGAAATCTGCAGGAGGATTTTGGCCCGAGTGACTGAGAGAAAGCCGAGACAACTGATTTTCACTGAGGTATTTCAGGGCTATAGCATTTGCTTCCATGCTCAGATCAACGACATTAGGAGTTAATCCACACATGCTGACATTGGCAAATGACATATAATTTAGTCCAGGAACCACTGCTTCAGGATTTATGCACGCCAAGATGCTGAAATAAAGCATCAAAAAGTTAGTTCAGCATTACAGGGCAAGTATCCATCTCCAAGTGTCAGCTGGTGATTTTACTGATTTCTCTTTCCTTTTGACCCCCACAGCTCAATCCAGCTACTCAGTGTTGAGATCCTATGTTCTGCACACACTAAATGGCAGGTCTTCAGCTGCTGATAGCAATGGCATCCAAACACAGTGTTAGGGAACTGATGATATGCCCTTCTGATTCAATACTAATCCCTAATCTCATATGAAGAGGAAACCACCTCTAGCAGGTTTTGGAGCTGGTTTTGGTTTTAAAGCAGGTTTGAGCTTCTGGTCTGTTCTCACCAGTGAACGTGACATGATATTTCTGATCCTAAGACTCTATACGCTGCCAAAATTTACATCTGGATATAAGATACAACCCAGGAACATCTCTTCCCCGATGAATGCCAATTTCATGATTTTTACAGCAACTCTGACATAACATCTGTTTCTAGAAGCCTGCAAGGTTCTAGTTTTTGAAGGCATCCTTCAGGAAGGGAAACACTTGTTTTGTTATGTGAAACACTAATTTCTAGTATTCATTAGGTGTTCAGATTAAAGACTGAAAGCTCTGGTACACAGGTAGTGGCTGCAAACCATTGCATTTAGTACATGCATCATACGTTAGTTCATAAACCCAAACTCCTCATGGTGAGAGTTAAAGGGTCTCTCTATTTCCCTGAGTACAGATCCTGAAGTTTGGTTTGGGAGAGTAAACTCCTGGGTCAGATGAACAACCACTAACTATGCTACAGTTACACTGTTGTTTCCTTCTCTACTAACCTGTAGACTTTTTCTCAGAATTGTGTCAGTCATGAAAGCGGCAGAAGGAAGAATCCCACCTTGCTCCCCAGGTTTGAAGAAAAAACTCCAAGAATGCTAGTTTTGTCTTATAGCTTCACTTATTAGCATATTATTGTCATGAAAAGAGCACTACATACTCTCTAGCCAGGAAGGCAGCCCAGAAAAATGCCTGATGACATTCAAGTGAGAAGGAGAGAACAGAGCTTAGAAACTCTATGACTGGAAAAAGCTTTTGATACACAGCTGAAGATTGATTTGGAGATGGTTATATTTTGTTGTTGTTTATCTAACAGTTATGTTCTAGTATCTAGAAGACAACAAGGGTGAAAGTGAATAAGCTGTACCAGGCAGTCAGTCTATGCCTAAGCAGCTACATAAATCAATTCCTGTGTCTCAAACACCTCCTTCAGAAATTACTTCTGATCTTTCTCCTGTTTCATTAAGGCTGTTTCCCTCTTCAGCCACTGCAGCCTCCCTTTTTCAAATCAAAGCACTCACAATAAGAAGTGATTAAGACAGAACCAGTTTTGATTATATATCAAAGCCATGATAACAATTTCACTTGTATCAGTGAAGTGCAACACAAGGGTTAACAAGCAGTGACAAAACATACAGCTGCTTAACATTCAGCCTCCCAAGCCCAGTGTTTCTCTACAATATTTTGACATAGCCCAAAGGATTGAAATTACTCAAGCAGCTTCGTTATTATTCTCAGGAATTGTGTGCTACTGCATGCACAATACCTTAAGAATCACCAGATGCTCTAACAGCTAGAGCTACTTATGTTATATTTAAATAATCTGTGTTTTGCTAGCACAGCTCTTAAACCTATCTGGAAATATCCATAGCATGAGCCAGCATTTCATCTTCGGAGGAAATGTGGAACAAGTTGCCAAACAAACCCCCAGTGGCATTGAACACAGTCCCTTATCTTTGGTCATTGAGCCAATGTTCATTTTTGGTTGGATCTACAGATTACTACTCAAAACAACCAGTATTTTACCTGGCATTCTCCACTTTGTGTGTATTTTTCTTCGTTTTGCCAGGCAAGTCAATTGTCACTCCAAGACTCTTCAGCTGTTTAAGTGTGGCACTAATCACACTCTCCTTATCCATCACTCCAGTGTCATTCTCAGAAGCCATTTCTGTTGTATCATCAATATCCTGATACTTAGGATCAGCATCATTAACCAAACCTGCTTTCACAGGCAAGTCATCTTGCTCTTCTGAGGACTTTAAGAGGTGGTTTACTTGGCCCTGCAGAAAAACAGAGCAGGAGAGAGACCACATTGACAAAGACATTATGCTATGCAGGAGCTGTCAAAAAACAAAATCCTGCTTTATTCTTATGGAACATAAAATACAACTAGATAGCTTAATAGCTTATTCTGACAAAGAAAACCAAATTCAGATTCAGTTCAGATACATCCACGTAAACTCATAGCACTGTACTCAAACACTGGAATACTCTTAGTTTCAAGCTTTCTGTAACAGTCTGTTCTGAATTTAAACACATGACATACTGATATTCTTCAAGATTAAGGTATCTACCCTTTAAGGGACTTGAGGGTACAATGTTGTGCTATTTTAAAGGGCAGTAGTTTGGGAAGTTATCAATTGACATTCTATTTGAAGTAAAGAATGATCATTCATGAGGCAGCAGACAGAACTCCGTGGAAGAGTGAAGGACAGAATGACAACTTAACACCTTGAAAGTACAACACTTGGAGCTTTCTGTAGAGCATAACGTGAACTTCAAAACCACATGCATTTTTCATTCATGCCCATACCACATAGTAACTTGAACAGTGTGCTGTTTTGACTGCAATCAGTGCAGAATATTAACTTTATATTAATTACCAGTAAGTCCTGGTAAAGCTTCTGGTCCTCCGATGGATGGCGAGGCACCAAGGAAGCCGGCGGCTCCGAGTTTTGCTCGCTTGTTACCACCACATGGTTGCTGGCTCCCTCTGTTGGTTCTTTCTGTAAAGACACGCTAATACTTTCTTCCAAGGATGAACTGCGAACAAGCGCTTGGGAACCGCTTCCATTTCTGAAAGAGACCAGCGAGATACCTAGATAGTTCCTCGAAACAGGAAGGGCACAAGTATCACTACCACCTTATCTTTTCATGAGCACCAGAAGCGGAGAAAAATCGAGTTCTGGAAACAGATCTTGGTTTGTCTTCTGCTTGAGGCTTCGTTCCTTTCTGCATTTTCCTTCAAAAGGACTGAGGAAATACACCTTGAGGTGTGAAACTACACCAGCCTGACTAGCTTTTCAAAAGATGATTTGAAAATGGTAATGGCTTCTCTGAACTAGTCATAACCCAATGACACTCTAGGACTTCACCTTAAAGCAGACAAAACTAAAAGTTACTAGCAATATGGAGTTTGTCTTAGGTTTTCAGCATTTTCACGGCCACTTAAAAGCCTTTAGGAGTGATTTATCTTCCATATGTTCTAAAATATGACTTATTCAAGAAGCTGGCTTTACTACGGGGAGTAACTGCTAATAAGATTCTTGAGGCAGTTTAAAAACACTTATAAAACTAGTCAAAGACACCATTACAAACATACAGATACTCAGTGCACACTGAGCATCATGAACTGAGAACAAACATCTAGTTGAAATATTTCTCAACAGCAGATGTGAATGAGGAACCTGACGTTTCCAGATAAGAAGGGTAAGTATTGCAGAATGAGTTACAAGGTGATGCTCTGCAGCCCCTTCAGCCAGATGGTGTGTGCATGGCATAAACCTTTTGAGACCAGACATATCAACAGTACTATCATTCCGAGGAGATCCTTCAGCAACCCTCCTCCCCCTTCCTGTTCCTTCTCAGGAGACAGGTAGAAGATAAGGGAATTTCAGAACTCAACTGATCAATTGCCTGTGTTGAAAGCGATAAGATTTAAATCACATGACATACTAGATAGTCAATGTAGGTTATCAGTTAATGTTACACCAGCAATTATTCATCATTCCCAAAAATGTTCCACTCCTCCTCAAAGAAATCTGGGTGATGCTCTGCATTCTTATGTTCTTATGTGGCTGCTTTACAGGTTTATAAGTTGAAGAGAATCTTAAGATGCCATCTCTCTAAAATATTATATTCAAAAGACTGATTTGAATCAGTAACATTTATGGCAGCAGTATATGTTTGCAGATAATACTTTAGTCAAGGATTATAAACATTTAAGGTATAGCTTAATTACCATTATCTTTCCTGATAGGAATATTTTAGAAATTTAATCTAACTGGAAGGGTATTTCCCCTCCTTTGTTGTTTTTTTAATACCTAGAAAATAGTAGATCATTACAAGTTCTAAACTGTTGAGCTATTTCCTGTGTAAAAATAACATCCATATAGATAATTACAAACACTTTTAAAATCACTTCCCAAATTCATCTAAAAGAACTAAAAAGAACCCAAGCTCAAAAATAATTAAATTAACAGCAGTGAAGTTGGTACCTGCATTCACTCCACACAAAGCAATCAGGTGTAAAACATACAGAAATCCAGGGAACAGGCATATAGTAATAAGCCCCTTGTCCTAAGCCCCTCAGAATGGAAAGAGTTCCGAATGCTGACAAGGAAAACCCACTGCAGGAAAACAACTGACTACAGCAGCATTCCCTTTTCCCCTCAGGATTTAAGGTAAGAAAGGGAATGTTGCCAGCACTGTACATGCTTTCCAAGTTAAAGGCTTTTACCATCAGCTGCTGCTGATAGGCAGGCTTCCTAAACGTGCATGACTGATAAATGCAGACTCTAAAGGCAACTGTTTTGGTGAGCTGTACCATTTGAAGCATAATTAAAAAAAAAACAAAGAAGGGGAAGAACACAACAACTCCAGTCAGGTGACTACTCATAATTCCTGAAAAAAAATAATTACAGAAGTAGAAACTTATGAAAGCAGTTCAGCTTATTATCTGAACACAAGATAATTCTGATTACTTACTGGAGAGTGTTCTGATTAGTTCCTTCTTCCACCAGATGAATACTGTCTACAAAGCTGGGCATGTCAACCACCTTTAAGGAGGAAGCAATACTTGTATTACTTGCATCTTGTTCAGCATTAATTGAAATGCTTATGTCTTCCTTAGAAATGTCTTCCTTAGAAATCTCTTCATCCTCTTTTTTCCCCTGTGGGATGGAGTCCTCCTGTTTTTCTGGGGCTGTGTTCCAAAATAAACTAGCACCTAAAAGGGAATTCAAGATTTACTCATTTAAGGAAAGTCATTACTATCTTCTGAGACCCTTTGGCTTTGTAGAGCTAGAGGAATCATTTCCTCAGATACAGGCTTTTTTCACCATTTAAAAAGTGATTTAGGGTTTAGAACAGCTGAGACTTGCCAAAACATCATTCAAGTTCTTCCAAAGCATACTTGATGAAAATAAATGGTATTAAAGCATTTTAATGCATTGACCTTGAGCCAGTTTTAAAATTTCCTCCAGATTACTAACTGCAATATTTCCACAGATTTAAAAGAAACTAATGCATCAATATGTAATTTCGCAGACACAACTGTGTAACTTGCTAAAATTAAATTCAATACAGTCTCCCCTCTGTTCATATAAATGTATGACTTACAAAAACCATCAGTAATCTATTTAATAGAACACCAGATGGGACAGAAGTTATTACTTTTCAAAACAGCATATTAATAAAAAAATATATCTGTGTTTTTCCTTTCAATAAGGCACTATTTGAAATAGAAGACCTTGCTAAAGCTATTGAAAGAGTAATCCTTCTAGTGATGGCAATGACTGTCATTGCAGGCCAAGGACAAAAGTAGCTCCAGCCTAAACTTGCAAATAACACCTAGAGAACCCAGCTGGTTTTTGTATCTAGGTGCTGAGTATGTTCAGCACCTTCTGCAAAACATGCCATCCACACCCAAACAAATGACCGAAACATCCAGAAAAAGTGATGCCAGTCTATTTTTAAGGAATAAAGCATTACCTGTGCTCACAGCAATGCTCACACTTTTCCTCATGTGTGGAGCTGGTGAGGACCCTGTTTCCATAGAAACAAGGTCCCCTTGCTTCTCAGGCAGCAGAGCATGGTCAGCTAGAGCTGGTTCAGAGGAACAAGCCTGACGAGCCTGTGCTTCCAGCAAGCGTTGGATCTGCAACAGTTATCAGGAACTTATAATTTGTACAATAAAATATAAAGCATAACAGACAAAAACAAATTACTAAATTAGGCTCCTCCGAAGATCTGGATTCAAATGCAGGCTGCATTGCCACAGAAGTCTGACAACCTTCCAGTTCTCAGCAGTGCATGAAGGATAAATCGAAACATCAATTTTGATGTTGGCAGAGCCAGCAAAGAAGAGGTTTTAAAACAAACTGAAACCACACTAAGAAAACTTGAGTAAAGCCTCTTTGCACTCCACTTGTTGGAAGTATTCTCTGTCCCCTTCACTCACACACAAAGCCTATTATCAACTTACCAGCCAAGAATTTATATGCCAACTGTCCCTACACCATGCTAAACCAGCTTTGTATTAATTACTAAAATAAGCACTTAAATGACAAAATTAAGGTTGCCAAGGCAATCCTCACTCTTGTATTTGCATCCACCCTGTCCACTGATTAGTTCACATGTCCATGGAGAGGTATAATAACAGTGAAGGCTGCATTTAAGCAATAAGAAGAGGTTTCCCTCCCTTGTGCACAACTTTCTCCTTGATAGCTTAATTTTACATACAGCAGCTAGATCTAACGCACATTTCAGTTGTCATTTTCTAGTTGAGGCAGGAAAAATATGTAATGGTACCAATGTTCCTAAATACAGGGTCAGCAGTGTAACTCCAGAGGTCAATATTTTGAAGAAATCTAATCTGATAGCAAAAATGAATTTAAGCCAACCAGCAAAGCTCAATTTTTCAGCCCATCAACAAACACGAGATGAATCCTCCCATTCTGCTGCAGACAGACACCTCAAGTTTTCTAAGCAACAGCTTTGGTAGCCCAGGAAGCTGCAGGCTTGAAGGTGGGCAAAGCAACATATAAGAACACTGTGCTTCACCTGTACACTAAGAATAATTCCCAAGTCTATATAGCCCATGCAGTAATTGATTGTTTTTTATGTAGACAAGCATATCTAGGAAAACATTCATATAGAAGACATACTGGTTTGCATTACAAAACAGTCTGCTGAAAGGGCAACTTGCACATTATGGAAATATTATAAAAATAAATGCAAACTATAATCAGGAATCAAGTAGTTTTCATTTATTTTAAGGAACACCAAATAGGCAAGCTAATTGGGATCCCTCTCCAACCCCAAACTGGACATGGTATGACAGGCTCTCTTGTTTTAACAAAGATAGACAAGAGTTTAATTTAATTCCTTTGGCACAGGGAACTAGAAAAGCATAATCCCTAAGAAGGCAGATGAGAAAGCTGCCATTTCCACACACCTGAGCTTGAAGTAATTTCAGTTGTCTATCCTGTTCTGTAAGAACCCGGTATGCATCTGGAGATAATCCCATCATTCCATTATCTGATGCCATGGCAGCAGCAGCCACGTGCAGGCACGGTGAGTGGGCTGCACAGCACTGTGGACTGGAGGGGCTTGCACTTGAAGGCTGTCTTGTTCCAGGAGATAAGCTATTGTCAAGAGAACAGTTCCCCATTTTCCCATGATATCTCACATTTATAGGGCTGCTTGTGGTATATCCTGGGTTGCAGCAAATATTTGGGCAAATGAGATTTTGATGGAACACTGTACATGGAGTCTGTTGAGCCACCTCTGATTGGGTTTCTGCTCCGTGTTTGTGGCTTATTTTCCCAATTCCTTGCCATGAGTTTATTGGATTATACTGCACGGAAGCAGGAAACTGACAGCTGCACACACTGGCTGGACAGCAAGGTGGCACTTGGACTGGCACCTGCACTTCTGGTGGTCTTCTGCAGCTCTGTGGTGAAAAAGCAGAGGTGTGGAGGACCGGCTGTGTAACAGCAGGAAGCTGCTTGGAACTGGTTACTGATGTTCTTCTCATTGGAGGCTCTCCCTGCTGTGCAGCTCCATCAGGATTTAGCACAAGTCTTTCTGATGGCTTTCTGGGGTGATGCACAGAGGTATCTGGGGAAGGCCCACTGCAAGGGGTTGAAGGAGAAGATGACCCAGAACTTTTTCTTGATTGAGGGCAAGCTTTCTTACACGGCAACTGTTGCTGTAGTAGAGGTTGCTTTCCCCTGGAAGGCCTTAAAGTTGGAATTTTCTGGTTTGAATGGTTCGGTAATTGCCTTAAAGAGGAATCTCCTGTATTAGCAGGAAAGTTTTGCTTGTCTTCGAAGTGTTGGGTGGGATAGTATGAAGATCCCAAGCACCATTTCTTTTTAATAGGCTGAGGTAGCCCTGAAGGTAGACTTTTAGCATTCAAAGTCCCCACAGGCTTAGACAATTGTCCTGGTTCTATGAAACTCCCATCCAAAACAAGGGACAGTTCAGGAACAGAAGGAAAGATCCTAGTAACCTGAAAAGACAGTTACAAAACCAAATTTAAGATTATTTTAAAGTACTGTCTTTCAGCTCTTCACATGCAGAATCTCATCATAGAAAATATTTCCATTTTAAATCAATATACAACCATTACAAGCATCAAACCAACTACCCACTGATACAATAAAAAAAAAAAGAAGCAAAGTCTCTAGGATTATTCTTAAGAGGACAAATTGCTTTCCTATAACAGAATAGCCATATCTACCAAAAGAATGCTCCATGTCATCCTAGAATGCATTTCTGAGTGTGGATCTTTCCCCTTCAAGAACTAGACATGTCCCTTCTTGCTATTCTTAGACCCAGTAGACAGAAGCAACAGAACATTTTTCATAATTCACAACTGTCACATCCTTCTAGACCTTTGCTATACAAGGGCTAATATTTCATTGTATATGTATACACTTCAGTAAAAAAGGACAGATCAGCAGATCTTTATTTTGTTTAGTCAGGAATACACAAGGAGTTTGCTGGCTCTGTCTTTACCTCAGACACCTCAGCTAGTCCATGTAATGGTAGCAAGATTCTCAAAGTAGAACCCACTATTATTTGCTCCCAAATTCTACCATGTACAAGAATTAAAAGTGTCTATAATCCTGGAAAGAAGGCAGGTTAACTAGAGCAGGAGTTGGGACTCCTGGTCCATTTCTTCAGTTGTTTTCTTGTGCTAGCACTTTGAGACAGAAAATTTATACTCTCCAGTCCCCTTACAATGAGTTTTCACACAATGCTGTGTTACATTTGAGATATCTAGAACAATTAATCCATTACCTGTTGACTGACTGGGTGAGGACTTGGAATTGGCCTGGGGGATAAATCCTCATCTTCTACACCAGAGTCATGATCACTTGCTGACAACTTGCTGGATGAAGAGCCTTGGGGAGGACTAAATCAAACATAAATACAATTAAAAATGTTTTCTTGTCAGATTTGGCAGCAGCAAAGTGAACCTTCACATTTTTCACTGTCATCTACAGTGCAGTATCAGCATTATTTTTTTCAAGAAGCAGTTGCTGTACATCTCCTCCCTGGTTAGCAAGGGAGTTCACACAACAAACAGTTCTAAGACCAAACAGTGAAAATACAAATTCGGACAAAAATACACCAACCCTCTCTCCCCACACCCTCTGACATACACATCTTTTAAGTGACATTCTAACAGCCAGGACTGGTCTATATTAGAAAGATTGGGAGTGCTACAGTGAAGATTAAACATTGTTTAAAGGAAAATAAAGGCCAACTTATCGTCATAGGTAAAAATGTGACAGATAATTCAAGTTCTTAAAAATCACTAAGTTTCAACCTATTCAGGTCTCACAGCTCTGTGAAGGTGGGAGGACAGAAATGTTTACCAACTTCTGTATATTTCAATTAGAGATTTGCTTCAAAGGGCAGATCTCACAGGTCAGTACGGTGAGATAAGCTCCATCAGGAAGGAAGCCTTTTTAGAAGAATCTACTGTAAAAATTACAACCACCAGTATCAAGAGTAAAACTGTGGGTAGTTTCTCTTGGAACATGGTCAACTTGACCATCTTAATTGAAAAATATTAGCTCTAGGAATAAATAAAAGCACATATGCAGTTTTTAATATAGGATTACTGTATGCACAGCTACACTGACAACTGGCACAGTGAAGGTCAAAAAACCCAATAAATATTTACTTTTTGCATATAAATGACATCTGAAAGATTTACCTTTTGATAGGAAGCTTCTTGCAAACTCTGCTGAAGAACTCAGTTTCTGCATTTTGGTTTTCTGCACTCAACTCAAAGTGGATAGGGCTCTTGTCTAAAGGCTCAACGTTCTGAAATGAAATTTCCTGTATTTGTGAAGCATGAAACTTTCACCTTTTAGTCACCGAGGTGCTACTCCCAAATAAATAGTTTTAAGGACATTTATATCTGCTTATTTGCTGCTTGTCCTCTACTTTCAATTCTCAATTCTTTCACCACTACAAGGAGGCAGGCAACTTCCCTTCCTGTTTAACCCTGGCTCCCCCTGCTACTCTGTAAAGTTGTTGGCCTAATTATAGCCATGAGCAGATGCTTCCTTGCTGTAACTGCTTAGAAACTTTTTCACAAACCTTTACCACCATAGGAAACAACAACTTTTCCTGTACTGTTCCACACACCACAACTGGGCAAGTCCTGGAGACAACAGAAGTGAGCCTCTATTAAGAGACTTGTCAAAGCTAAACTGTACGCAGGCTAGAGGTGGAAGGCAGACCTAAACAGGGAAATTTCATTAGAAAGAGAAGAGCCCAGGATATAAATTACACTAGCTGCTTTTCTGCCAGAGCATAGGAGCATTGAGCAGATTAACAATTCAACTCCAGGTTCTGCACAAGCCTAGAAAAACATATAAGGAACTGAGATTTCTTAGAATTTCCTCAAAGCTTTTTAGTTCTCTCCCACAAATTGTATCATCAAACTCTTTCAGAGTTACTTTGCACAAAGATATAATTGTTCCTGGTTTGTTACTGTGGTGCAGGAGGAGCTCTGCAGATTAGCAACCCCTTAATTCCCTTTCGCATTTGGCTTCAAGCAAAGCATAAGTATTCATCCAGCTTTGCTCTCCTGAAAGCACTGGTGTGCATCACCCATAGCAATTGCTAGAGGTGTCCAGCATGCACATAGCATACAGGATTAACAAATGCTGTAGGAAATCAGAATCCCTGCTCATACAGCCAAAAAGGTCACTAGCAAGAAGGAGCACTCACCAAATCTGACATAGCACACTGCATTTTAAAAGACAGATCATTAATGAGATTAGAAAAGTGAGCAGTTGTGGACTTTGGAGGTCAGATCTCAGTTTGAGTGACAAATTCTGAGCTTACAGTAATCGCTGTAAAAAAGGGGAACTTCACAGAATTTCATCACTTTCCAAGACTGCAGTTCCATTTGGGTCAAGTTATAGTGACTCCTCCTTCAAGTCAATTTTTAAAGTATCATGATGCAGTAGGAAACCAAGCTACTTACTTTGTAAAGGTGTACTGTTTCATTGCAAGTTAGGATCTGAAACCCTAGTTCAGTCTGTCCACTGCATGGAATGCACTCATAAAACTCTGGTTCCTTGTGTGTCAGTGAATAAAGCACAATAAGAAAACTCCCAGATTCTGAGAAAACCCTAGAATAGAAAGTACCCACATATTAAAAACAATTTAAGAAATAGGAAGAAGGCACTCAATTTAACAATATACCTAGCAAACTCAGACTGTTAGCAAAAAGGTGGGTCACCACATTTTGAGCAGTACTGAACAGATGAACTTTTGACTGATGCCACATGCAAGAACAAAAGCAGAAAAACAGGAATAATTAACTTTTTAGTTCAAACCATTAGGATCTCTTAGTACTTTAAATGAATTACAGGAAGACTTCAATCATACCATAGAAGAAAACATCTGTAAAAATGATAGTGTGGTGTGGTTTTTTTTGATAATTCAATTGAAGATGTATCATAAGGACACTTATGACTTCAGTTACACCTAAATATTCCAAAAATGCTCATTAGGAAACAGATGTTTTTTTAAGGAAAATTACAACAAAGTTTTTTTCTACAGGTTAATAACAGTAAGTAACAACAGCCAACATGTAACACAAAAGGATAATGAAAATAATGTACATTTACAGGACAAGGTAGCACTACTTTCAGAACAGTTTTCTTTTTTACAACACTTGTAATGCACATGCTTGTGGAAGGGGGGTGTTTGGGTGCTCTGAGGTTAAGTAATATACTTGAAGAAAACAGCAGGAACAAAATGCTTGAAAAACACACATACAGCTTTAAAATGACACAACTTAAGTGTTAAAAATGTATGATGCACAGATTAGGCTGTTAGTCTGCAGAGGTTAATTCCCTTGCATGGTTCATCAAATCTGCCTAATCCACTTCAAAGATGGAATCAGTGAAAGTTAATGAGAGTCAAGTATTTAACTTGTCTATCTAATAATCTAATTGGCCTCTTATCTGTATTTGAGCATATTTAAATGGTTATGGGAAAAAGTCTATTCTGTAATGACAGACACATCTGTTCACCAAATATGTTTTTATTTCATCATTGAAAAGCAAGTGTGGTTGAGCAGAAGAAATCCTAACACATACAGCCTAAGTTTCATTTACTTGAAGGGCAGTTTTAAACTATAAACACCTGAAACCACTCCCAGCTTCCATATAAATAGAACTTAGCAAATGTTAAATATGAAACAGTGAGGAATTATTATCTGCTAACATCAAAATGAAAAAAAGAAGCAATTAGAATGCAAAAACTGTAACACCAGAATATTTAGCAGGAAGTCATAACAAGTCAGTACTAGCTGCAAATCAAAACACTTTAATACGTTGGTCAGATACAACCAGGGAGAAAGCCTATGTCAAAAAAGACACCCATAAGAAATATTGAAACCCAAAACCCCATCACTGTTCATACTGTTTTCTGCTTTCTGGTTCTTATTTAAACTAAAATGCAGTGACCTTAATTACATTAATGTTCACCCTCTTTTGTCTTTGAGATATCAGCCCAGCTTCCTATCACTTCAGATATAAAACACTCATGAGGTAGAAGTCAAAACCAGAAAAAACAGACAGCCCCCACCTCTTATATAACATATAAATCACAGAATTCCCTCAAATATCTTTGAGCAGAGCCCATTTTGCCACACATTTCTGTGGAACACATTTGTAGGCAGCCAATAGCTTCTGTGTTTTATAGATAAAAGTGACTTGCCTTTCCTGAATTGAAGAACTGAATAAGTATCGCAAGCAACAAGCCCAGACTTGAGGACTGCAGATGTGAGTAACTCCACTCAGCCAACTAGAAGTAAGAAGAAATATCCAATTAGAGAAAGTTCCCTTACCAAGTTCCCTCTGGGTAATTCCTCAACTACACTTCAAATCAGTATGTGTTTTAATCTGTATAAAAGACAGACAAACACTCACACTCCAACTAATGGCAGAGCATAAGCCTTGGGATCTGATTCCAGCAGCAAAAGCAATTTTCTTGTCTGGTCCATGGTAAGGTAGCTGAAAGAAAGCAGAAGAGCAGAAGCTGGGTTGGTGTTGTGGGGCTTTTTTTAGTATTTTGGAATACTGTTCTTTCAGAAAAAATAGTGAAGAGGCAAGTACAAGTTTAGAAAATACTAAAATAAAAAAGTTGTGGAAAAAAAGCAAAACCATCCTTCCTCCATACTTCCCCAGCTTTTCATCCATTCTCTGTGCATCAAATAATTAAGACCACATTTGTTTAATATTAAGGTATTCACAACAAATCCAGAATTGCAAGTCATGTTAAAATTGAAGAGTAACTGCCAGAGAGGCATTTACAAGCTCCAAATAAGATGATGTTCAGTTGCTTCAAGTTTTTCTCTGATATACCCTCAGTTCATCCTACTACATTAGCTCTCAGTCAGGTGATGATTCCCTGCTACCATCTTACAAGCATGATCAACAGAAAAAGCTTTGATTCACAATCAGCTGACTTCTATTCCATAGCCAGAACTGATATTGTTTAAAAAGCTGGATGCTGTTTACAGTCATTAGGTTAATCAGAGGTGTGTCCCCCTGCCCTTGTAGGAAGATCCTTCTCCTGAAGTCAGAAGTAAGCAACTCCTACTGAACCAGTTAAGATTTTTTTTCTCCACCTCATTTCCTGCTTCTTATTTACAATGTTTTGAATTTTTCCAAGACCAAGAAGTTACACTATTTTAATGCTATTTATTTTACTAAAAAGCAAAGCACTGGTTGAGATCTTGCCTACCTACCTGCTTTAGGAAATGCAACAAACTGCCAGGCAACTCTCATAGTTTTAACACCACCCTTTACTCACCCACATTTATAAGTTCCTTGAACTTGTGCAATATTCATAGTACTGTTCAAATTTCTTGCTAGGGCTGTGGGAATAATTGGGACAGACTTCACAGGGGTGTATTCCAATATATTTGCTGCAGTAATAGAAGCCCAGTGAAAATTAAAATGTAGATTATCCAGGTTTTCCGTGAAAACAATGTGAGCTCGAACAGTGAGCAGCTTAGAAAGATCCAGTGATTCTTTGCTGCACAGACTGTGCTGCAGACTCTAGAAGAAGGGAAAAGAGAGAGCAGTTAAAAATACAGAAAATTGTCTTGATATGACTACCATGATACAAGCTGTATTACACTAGGAACTGAAATCATTCATCATAGCCACTATTGCAGTAGGCACTGTATAAAAATCCATTAATTCACGTTTCCAAAACTCATGGCTATACTGAATATAATGGATAATGTAAAATACACTTGAAATTCGTAACTGCCTATCTTGAAATTCCTTTATGATATATTAAAAACCTGGAGTTACTTCCATTGTATAACATTAAGAAAATAATGGACAACTAGAAGGCTCAAGATGATCTATCAAATTTTCTTTCTAGCACTCAAGAAATGTGTATTTTATCTTGTGGATGTATCATAATGAGAAAGATGTGAAACGAGCATTGTTTGTATTATAAAATGCACACAGAAACAACTACAGGCAAACATTTACAGGAACAGAAGGTGTATTTACTAGATTTTGTGTCTACAGCAGGGTACAGAAGCAACAGGCAGACATTTCAGCTAGAACTATTGACCTCCACAGACTTACATGCCTCCTTGCAAGGCCCTTGCCTATCAACACTTTTTATCAATAACTACATAAATAACAACTCAGTCACAACAGATTTGAAGAGAAAAAGGGCTTTTTTTCCTTATTTAAGTAAGTTCACTGCAATTACCCTTGTCTTGCTGGTTTTGGTGGTCAGACCAGCTGAAACACTTTAGTCAGATAGCAAGATTAAAGACTGTGTGATGATCCTGAAGGATATGTGAAGAGTAACTGATTTCAATAGTTTCCAATACATTTTTCAATGACACTCGAGCAGCTCATTTCACATAACCAACCTTTACTGTGTTTAAAATTGGTGGTTGGAAGTCAACTCCTATGTATGGTCCAACATCCTGCCCAGAAGACAGTTTATTGTATAAGAGACCCAAAAGTCGCCAAGAGCTGCCTACCTTGAAAGCCACACCAATATCTTCAGCATTGTGCACTAGAACATGATCTGAAGAAGGTCCCCAGGCATTAACTGTACAGGGAATCAAGAAGTCTCCAGGAAGAGATGCAGTTGGAATTTTGCCTGAACCAGCAACCTCTCGACCAGGATCAAAGCGATCTATTGTTAGTGTTACGCCTTCCCCATCTTTAAAATAAAGAAGTGGAGTTAAGAGTCCAAGTGCAACAACTCAGGCTCCTTGATAATAACTTACTCAAGCAACGAACGTTGTCTGTCTACCTGATGTTTTAAGTTACCTTCATCTACTGTAAGAGTTCCAAGCAAAAAACAGGAAAGTAATTTCTTGTCATTCTGCTTTGCGTGGCGATAGGCAAGTCGCAAGGTTTTTTCCATCATAGATACCTTTGGGTTTCTAAAAAGAGACAACTAGTAAGTTTAATATCCAAATTATTTGTTATGCTTTTTTAAGAAGTATTTTTTATGCTGCAATGGCTTCCATGTTTTTTTGTCTCTCAAAAAAGAATATACGCAGAAACAGCCCAAAGCGCTGTAGAACAAAAAGGTACGAATTAAGATTGTATAAAAGATTAATGGAATTTTAGCTCATCTTCTCTGCATCACCCCAACTATTAATATACAATAAACCTACATTTTAACTGGAGCAGCTCCACAGAATGCTCAACATGATCACCTTGTTAGCATGCTCTATGTAACCAGTTTGTAAAAAGTATTTCTTTCTATGTAAGTATTTAGAGACAAGAAACAACATGTTAAAGAAAATTACAAGCATGCAATTATTTTTACACCTTTCCATGTGGGAAGGGAACAGAAAGAAATTGTAAGTTACTTTAGACTGAGGTACCTTCAACTCTCTTGAGTGTGAGACACTACAGAAAGGGAAGCTCTCAAATCCTTCCAATTGAAACCCCTATATACTTATACCCCTATAAACTTTCCTTCATATATACTCTCTTATATACTTATAATGAGCACACCAGCTGTTTATTTTTCCTTTGTGCCTTCTCATACACTAGACTTGAAAGATCAAATGAGATGCTGAACCATATAAATATTCATTTACTTTAATCTTTAGCAGCTTAAAAAATGTTATTCCTACCTGTAATAGGCAATATGTGAGCCAATGACATCGCCCATGGGGACTGGGTCCCACAGTGCACACTTGGACAGAGGGAAACTGAAAGGGACCATCCTTTCGGGAGTAAATCTGGAAAGACCACAGAGATAAGAAAGGAAAATGGATTAAGCTCAGTGTTTTCAAGCAATATAAGAAGGAACAAAGGAGTAACACAAAGAAAAACAACAAATAGGATGCATAAACTTCTGGAACTTTTTTCGTTTCAGATCCAGACCAATGAAGCAGAAATTTTGTCCCATGAGGTTGTCAAGGATATGAACAACAAAGTCAACAGAAAACTTTCATTTTCCACCTGACAGTTCCTTTGTGTAATCTGGGGAGATGTGGAGGCAAAAACACAAGCTTGCAGAAAAAGCTCAATAAAAAGCTGCTCTAGATATATTGTAGGGAAGGAAAACATTATCAGTCATCAGAAACTCCCACGGCACACCGAAAATCTTGATTTAGCAAACTTAACATTAGAAGAGCTTCCAAAAGCCCCGTTTAAATACTTTTAAAAGTCAACATTCAATCCACTTAAGCTTTGAAGACTTCTGAAATAAAGCCTTGGGGCTTAACTCACATAATGCAGCACAAAATTTGCAAACACACTTCAGAGAGTTCTGAATAAAAAAATCCCAAACTTCTTTAGACAGGCAGGATTACATTTTTTAAAGAGCTGTCTAAACCAAGCATATTAAGTAAAACACAAGACACGTGACAGTCCCACACCATTTGGCAAATCCCTCTGCCCTTTTTTAAAAAAACCCCATATAAACAAGGACTTCCTTTGTAGGTATTTGAAGCGTCAAGCTTTGCCAAGGTGCTTTGTTTTCATTTCCGTAAGTTACCAGGGAAGAGCCTGCTCTATTTTTAAGGCGGCTCTCCAAGTAAATCATCTGCCTCTCGTGTTTCCAGACCCAGTTAAATGATTCTCGCTAAAATCTAAACGCCCATCGAAATAAATCCCAATTCAGGCTTGCAAGAGGGGAAACTTTAGAGTTCTCCCTAGCGTTTGGCAAGCACGGCTCACACGCACAGCTCCACGGCTCGTCACGGGCAGAGCGCCCCAGGAAGGGGCCGGGGGACCCTCCCGGAGCGGGTACCTCAAATCCGCGCGGGGCAGAACGGGCTCCATTCCCGACGTCCGCAGCTCTGCCCCCTC